AATAAAAGGAATTGCATACAAACAAGATAGGGGAAAAAAAAAACATGCTTGCTCTATAGTTATCATACTCGATAAAAAAATCATGTTGTACTATTTACTATCTTCGATCTTTTAAAAAATTTAAAAACTTATTTAATAATCCATTTTGATGGATTTTAATTAAATTTACTATTTTTTTATTTTTTTTAAATATCTTAAAATTTTAAATTCTACACTATAATAATAAATAGTTATAACCCTAACATACATTATTATCGCTTAAAAATGTGAATATTAAGACTGACATATATGATATCGTCACTGTATTTAAAAAGTAGTAATCTCAAAATTAGACTATTACAAACTATGTAACCTAACTCACCAACTAGCTAATGTTTGAAATATAATAAATTATTTTCTGACATCATATACTCAAGTAATTAAACAATTAGCCTTATGAACTTTTTTAAATATTGGCAGCATAGTTTTTAATTAATTTTATCATGAAAATTATGGCTAAAAAAATATACATTAAAAAGGAATTTTTTAAATCTTAATTTGTATGATAAATATATTAATATATAGTTTTTTTTTCTTTTTTAACCAATTTAAACATGCATTTGAGTAATTTAATAATATAATAAATAAATTATTCTTTCCTTAGATTTTTCTAGTTAAAATAAGTAATAAATACTCTTCATTGATGAGAAATAATAATTTGACTTAGATTTATATGTGATTTCACTTTGTTACCAGATTGTTGATGGGAAAGTTGATCTAGGTTTTTAGAAAAAAAAAATAGTCATTTGCTACCCCATTAAATCTTATAGATAGAGATATTTTTTTCCTACAAGTCATTTAAGGATTTTTAATAAAGTTATTATGTAAAAAATTCTCTAATTTCTATGTTTCTTTTCACCAGACGTTTAGATCATTAAAATTTTAAAAATAGTAAAGTTTGTGTCTTTAAAAGTAATTATTCTTAAATTTAAGTCTCAAACTATCTAAAATAGAGTTTCTTCAATTTGATATATGAAAGACATTGTACCCTTGAAGGAGCCAAAGACTTTTTTATAACTCCTCTTAGATATTATTGTTATTATTATTGTTTCGTACTACTTTGTTTGTAGTTTTTTTATTGTTTTACTTATTATTCTTTTTATTTTTATTTTTGGTTACAAAGAGAGACAAAAGTCAAGAAACTAAGAAATTACCAAGCACATCCTGGCCCAAGAAATGCCTAAAATATCATCAGTGAGAAGCTTGTAAAGATTATCCAATACTTGAGCATATGGGTGGAGACCCATCCAAAGAGAGAATCCAACATTCGCCAACTAATCAGTACATTTGTTCCATTCGCGATAGATATGCTGAATGCGAATTTGTCAATCCTGTAGCAGCATCTGTTTGATTGCACGGACGAGGGTAACATGTGCATTAGTCTTGTAATCTTCCTTAGTGAGTAACTGCACCACTAAAGAGCTATCTATTTCAATGATGATGTTACGACATCTAGTTTCCCAAGCGAATTGGATGCCATCATAGACTCCCCAGAGTTCGGCCTGCAGAATAGAACATCTACCAATTTTTCTACTGAAGCTCCACAAGCAAACATTAACCTCATATCTGATAAGTCTGCTACAGCAGGAGAGATTGATTGTAGCATGATAAACACCATTAGTGTTTACCTTCGGCCATCCTCTGGGTGGTTTATGCCAAGTAATAAACTCTTTAGATCTGTGCATCATACTTGAAAGAAAAAAGAGATTTATATTAGTAGCCATAAAAGTGTAATCAGTTATGAGAGAAACTTCCTTAATAAGCTCCTTGATATTGTTGTCACTCCCCTGAAAAATAAATTTATTCCTATGAGTCCACAAAATCCAACAAGTAAGGCCAAAAGTCACTCTCCAATCTTGAAATGTCCTGTTTCAAGGCCTATTATTTTTTAGGTTTAACATTAACCAATTCTGTGCTACAACACTAAAAAAGATTGATTGAGCTTTGACGAGGATGATTTTCAACTACAATAGCTTAGCAACATTACATTCACGAAGGACGTGATCCACGTATTTGATATGTTCGCCACACCTATTGTATTCCGTAGTAGCGGTCATGTAATGCCCTTAATTAATTTTAAAAAATTAAAAATTAGTGTGTAAATATAATTTTTAAATTTTTATTTAATGTATAGAATTTAATTTTTTATTTTATAGATTATTAATTAATGTAAAAATGAAAAAAATTAAATGGAGGATGCAATTGAAAATAATTTTGAAAAAAAATGGTAAAAATTTGGGTTCTGATGTATTTTTGAAAAAAATTTCGAAAACTAGGAGTTAAAACATAATTTAAAAAAATTGTGTCACGTAAGATGCCCAGTCAGTAGCCACGACGAACCGTAGCACGCTGCGTGGCAAGGGACGTTACGTGGTGCCACACGGGAGGCCACACGGACGATCCACTTACCCGCAATCAGACGGTCTATGTAACGGCCCCGGAAATTTAAAATGAAATGTGTATTAAAAATATCAAATGCAGAAGCGAAGTCAAAAATTCGATTAACATCCCTTACACTAAAACCAAAAACGTGCTCACAAAATATAAAAGATTAAACTAACTAAAGGAGAAACTCGAAAGTAAAAGCTATGAATATGACTATGGAGTCTTTAGGTGTCCTTTTCATCGTCCTCCTGCGGAACGGGTTCGGGAACAATGTCTTCCTGATCTGAAATGATTAAATAAGGAATGAGCTACACTAGCCCAGTAAAGACATCACGATATCTCACCGTCACGGAGGTA